CCCGTCTGTCCGCGTCGAAAGCGTGTTAGTAGATATAGTTCGCACGTAGTTCCACGAAGCACTCACGTAGTGCACCTTGATCTGGTCGCCCTTCTGCGCCTTGACCGAGCAGTCTTCCGGCGTGTACGTGGTGTCAATGTGGAGCTGCTTTGGAGGTTCAGCCGCAGCTGATACGAGTACACCAAACAGAAGACAAGAAAGCCAGTTGAGAAGCTGCATGGCGAAGGTGAGAGATGCGACGTGGGCTGGTTTGCATCAAAGACGTGGAGACTCTTGGAGAGATACGTCACGTGAAGCGTCGCTTCGGCAAATGCCGTCAGCGGAGGTCGAATGTACAGACCATCGAGAAACTTTATACCCACCGCGACATCGACGAAAACCGACGACCCTCATCGCACACCATGGTGAGCTCCAATCGTCCCTTCACCGCGTTCTACAACAGCTCATGGTTTTCTCCCGTGTAGCCTTCCCAAAAATCTTTCCGCACGAAGCGCATCCTCGCTAAGGCCTCGCGCCAGAACCGGTGTGTGAACAGTTCTATGCTAGTGGAATTCTCTGTTCTTACATCTTTACCCTCCTAGACCAATCCCCCAATGGTTCCGCCTAAAGACGGATACCAAGATCCAGGTGCGTAGTATGACCCTTGTACAAAAGACCACCCCTAATCTATCTTTTATGCCTTGTTCATAGTACAACGCCAAGCGTCGTCACTGGAGGCGCACCAAACTTAACATCTGAGCGATCCACGCTTTGTATGTTTATGTCGCTCGCGTCTCGTTCTCTCTGCAGGGAGGGAAAGAGGAAGCAAGGCAGTTTCGCCCTTGGGGCACCATCACGCATGCATGTATTCTTCTCGTTATCTATGCCCATGAACCCCGAAAATCTACCGCATGCTTTCAGTTTGTGTATAACATTTGGAATTGTTGCGTCGCTATCCGCCCGGGGCAGATGTGACGAGCGTGAGTGGAATGCCGGTGCTGCTCAGACATTGCTTTATATTTCCTACGCTACTTCATTCTAAGGAGGTCCTCTAGCACTTTGCACTTCTGTTATCATACTCTTTCCATCGACTACTTTCTCTAGGTGTAACTCGAACACCGGGTAAGCTTGACGACGACGACGACTGGCACATTGCAGTGGCACGATGTAAGTACGGCCATGTTTTCTGACTCGAGTGATAATTTCCTCCTGTGCCCCCTGGAATGGGCATCAGTGGTGTAGCGGTAACATTGGGTCTTCCCATGGCCTAGCTCCGGGTTCGACTCCCTGCTGATGCATTCTTTTTGTAATCCCACCATCCCTCATGGTTACGACTTACAGTTACGACTCTACGACTCCGAGGCTCGAGCAGAAGTCCAATTCTAATTTCTAACTTCTCAGTCCTCATCGACATCGATCATCAACACCATCAGAGATTCACTCCCTCCGCAATGGAACTCGCAGAGTCGCAACAAACACGTCCCCCTGCAGTAGAGCCCCTGAAGTAGGAACACCAGATTTTTCAACAACCGCTAAAACCACAGATAAGTATCCACATCATTGTCTCGCGTCCAAGTCGTCGACCTAATTTTTGAGGCCCTCGAGCCCTGATTCGCCTGTCCATGACATTCTCATTGAGGGTGCGTGTGGCAATGATCACGTTCTGAACTTCTAACATGATTCGTCACAGGCCTAGCTTTGTGAATCTGAACTAGAGCCTCTCAGAAATCGTCGACGGGCCGGTCTTTCACGAGGAGTCTATGCTCTATAGGCTATAGTATACTAGTATATAGGCGACTTCGTCGATCAAGTCAGCACTTAGTTACAAGTAACGGACAAAAAGACCCACCAGGCCTCATAAGCCATCAATAACATCACAACCGCGGTCGTAGCCGCTGCCGCACCGTAGGTAGCTGTCTGGACATTCTTGCAAAGGGGTGCACAGAGACTCTATGTTAATATGAAAGACCGTGTGAGTTGGGAACGGGTTATGTCACACTCATTCTCCTTGTCGAGTTCGACATTCGCTGTTCACCATCACTAAGCTCACTGCCGAGTTTAAAGAACATAGACCACCTAGTATTGAGATAACCCCAACTGATTGAGGTGCTCCGCCACAAAGCATAGGTGGGCATCGAGGCTCACCCAACACCAGAAATGAAACGAGCATCTATATTCCATGTCCCGAGAAAAATGTCTGGGGAATTGAAGTGAAAGATAAATAAGTATTATGGGAGCGGTGGAGCCCAACAAAGAAGGGTTATAAAGGTGCTCTGACTGAAGAGCATCCCGTCCTTCAATGGAGTCAGTGCTCACAAACTGTTTAAGGAAGGAGTTCGTTAGAATGTCCCACCAACAAAGTGACATTGTGAAACTCACATGAAGCTGACCAACCCGACGGCAACGCCAACTACAACACCCAAGTGCACACCTATACTGCGAATCCCTGCGTCCGCCGAAAGGTTCAAAAATTCGAGGTTCCTGTTCGGGAGCTGCGACGCGCTCGGTGGCGAGCTGGAATTGTAGCAATACTGCTGGAAACAGGTGGTGCAGAAGTCCGAGCGCGGGACAACAGGGTTGCTCTTGTATCGCGCGCGATCGATGGCACCGCATTGCAAGCATTTACCCCAGTTGGGGTCGGCGGAATTTGAGTTGGGGACGAAGCCACTGATGGTGTTGTTATGTGTCTGGTCAAGGAATGCTTGAGTGTGTTCGAGGGAGTACTGGAGCTGGAAGGTGCCAGAGCTGGGTGTAAAATGTATCAGCGCCGAAGCTTCACGCCTCGAAACCTACACTTACTTGGTCACAGGGCGACTACCATTAAAGGGGGGAGCGTTGGGCAGGTAAAGCACCAGCGGCCACTCCGGAGGGTTTTGCGCAGGGTCACAACCAAAGAACGTGGGGCGAAGGCTGGTGCCAGTAGAAACAAAGTCATCTGCACTCCCAGGAATGGGCGGGAACGAGTGGTGCGTCGACGATAGAACGGAAGCGAGGCGCTGCGATGTCATGAGAAGCGACGTTCCGCTACAATAACGTCAGTCAGGTGTAGTGAACTGCGACACAAAGAAACGCGTACTTCGGCCACACAGCAGTCGTGTCGTTGGATCCGTCGACCGCGACGATAAAGTCCATGTTGCGCGCCCTCAAGAACATAGGCCCAATAGGTACGTTCTCAAGGTTTTCTCCGCCGTCGACCAGAGAGAGGAATTCAGAATCGGTGTCCTTGTACGTGGATGAACTAAGCCCCTGGAATGGCTAAAGAACGGTCAGGATAGGCAAAGCTTCATCACACAGCGCATGACATACGTTGGGCCAGTTGGCGACGGCGTTCCCTCGGGAGCTGACACGTCGGAACAGGCGTCGGATTATGTTGAAAAAACCGCTCGAATCATCCGAATCAAAACCGTCGACCTTCTCGTCGCCCATGTCCAATATAATCTGCACACAGGCAATGGGCGCTTGAGAAAATGGGTGACCGGAGGGACCAGTTTCATACGTACGTTGAACAACGACGCACTCGTCCCCATAATGAAGCCTGCTTGATCATAACCGGTGACGCACGCTGTGCTATTGTCTGGGTTGCCATTCGTAAGATGTGTTCCAGCGAACGACAGGTTGGCCATCGCGGACAAGTTGGGATCCCAAGACCCAAACTCCAACGGCGTGATCTACTTATCGCATCAGATTTTCTGGCTTGTCAAAACTCATCAAAAAAGTAGACTTTACCTCATATACAACGTCTTGCAATGATGGAGGGTCGTCGTTATCCGCACTGATGTTGTTCGGAAGCGAGTTTGCGACAACAATCGGGAACGGTGGGATGTGGTTTTGGAACGCCGAAAGAGATGTGATTTGGGACCAGCGTTGACCCGCGCCGTGAGCAGTCTCATCAGAGAAAAAGTTGTCCCTCGTCGTGCCATTTAAGAAATGATAGGACAATAGACGAGCCCAGATATCCGTGATGCTCGTATTACTATAGAACAGCACTTGTCAGTCACGTTCATGGAAGGTGACCCAAGATACAACGTACAGTCCGACGTCCAGTTTAAGCTGCGCGCTATCCAGTACAGTGTCGTAGAAATCCCGATTGTCCCTGTTTAATATGTTGCGCCCACCTGGGGTCGGTAGGCTCAAGTCGAGCAACCAGCCGCTCAGGTCGTTGCCATTTCCAAAGATCATATCCGGTACAGTCGGCCAGTTGTTCAAATATAGCGATCCAGTCAACCAGGATCCTCCTATGACCAAGATCATTAGCGCACTCGAGGTTGACGAAGATACAACAAAGTGCTCACCAGATAACCCGCTGAAATACGACGCAACCTGTAGGAGACCCCCTGTCCCTGCCGCCTTTGATGACGAATTCCTCGAGTCTAACGCTGACACCACGCCTGCACCGTACTGCGCCGCTCGATATCCTCCGCCGCTGATTGAGATTGACACGTTCGGAAACCTGCCCTCGAAGGCGGTCAAATTGTACCCAATACCCGAGCCGTCGCCAAGCCAATTCCTCCACTCGTTCGGGATGACGTTAGTTTGACGTTGCGAGACGTAGTCGACCTCCTGTGGGTTCAGCGCCGGCGACCCAGGCGTGAATGTCCGGAGTAGTGTGTTTGTATCGGGGCATCCGACTTTTGTCGATGGTTGGTACGCGTCCGGAGAGTCGGCCCTGCTGGCAACGGCCAACGCCAGAAGAAGAAAGGAAGAAGAAAGCAAAGTCATGAAGAAGAGGGGAATAAAGAAGAAGAGAAGAATAGAAATTAAAAAGGTGGAAGGGAGAAGAAGAAAGTAAAAAGTAAATGGGCACGCGAAAGCGTCAAGCAGCCGCTTATATGCCCTCCGGATGTGTCCCTGTGATGTGCACCGGTGCTCGATCGACCTGATTGGCGCTGTCCGGAAGATCGATTTTGTGTTTGATGGAATAGGAACTATAGTACTGTTGAGATTACAGATTGTCAGCTTTCCAGGGTGACGAAGCCTTGGAAGTTGCGAGGAGGCGTTGGGTTAGAGTTTCTCGTGAGCTGGGGCGTTGTCATAAATATAGGACCGAGCATGTTCCTCCCATGAAGCCCGAATGTCCTTATCCAAGCTGTGCGCCTCACGAAACATATCAGCGTGAATAGACGACAGGGAACACCGGCGCTCGCGTTAGCTTTCCATCATGCATGCAGACTTTGCGTCGTTGATGGTAAGTCCTGTCAGGCCACAGAAAGGAATGAATGATCTGCATCTAGACAAACCGTCAATAAGCCTTCGTCAGTATATACCTAGGAGCAAGAGGACGACAAAAACCAAGAGATCTTACCTGATCTTACATGCCGGCGGACTGACTTCCGTCATCAAACACGAGCCTGTCTGATAATGCATCAGGGGCGGGCGCGGTCTGACCCTGCGTTTACGGACCAGCGCTCATTCATCAGAGGCGACAATATAACGATGAATGATGCTTGGTATGAACGTGGAAAGCAACCAGGTGTAAATGGTTGGGAGTTTTAAGTGGGATTAGATGCAAAATACATAGATGTTAGATTGAATTGCCTATTGAACGTTCCCTCTCGACGCGTAAGGGTCAACGTGAGATGCACCTTGGTCGGCGCGGCTTGAACTTCGCAAGGGTATATCATCGGCGTCATCGCCCTGCGACGCCTTCATTGCCCGATATCTTGCTTCTAATTTTTTGTGACGTTGCCATAGGCTGTCGGAACGTTAGGCGTTAGCCTTGGGCACGGCGAATCACGATGAAACAGGGATGAGATTTGGATTGGATACGCACAGGAGCGATATGATGGCACCAATAAGGACAGCAACACCGGCAGCGATGCCAGCAATAATCCCAAAGCTTTGCTGGAAGAACCTTCCCAACGTGGTCTCCGGGTCCGGGTCGTAGTAGTCTAGATCGCGGTTGACCAGCTGGGATTTGTTTGGAGGGTTGCTCGGATCATAGCAATACTGCGTGAAGCACGCCGAGCAGAATGTGGAGCGCAACGTAACCGGGGTGGTCTTGTAGCGAGCGCGGTCAATGGCTCCACATTGTAAACATTTACCCCAGTTTGGGTCAGGATCCTTCGAGTCGGGAGTGAATCCATGAATGGTCGTATTGTGAACTTGATCCAGAAATATCTGTACATGTTTGAGTGTGTAGGATAATTTCAACGTGGCAGAGCTAAACGGGAACATGTTATTTAACCTCAAAACAATAGAAGAAAGCATACTTGGTTGATGGTCTACTACCGTCGATGGGCGGAGAGTTTGGTAGGTAGAGCACGAGAGGCCACTCCGGCGGGTTCTGCGTAGGGTCGCA